GGAACAGAGCATTAAGTGAATATTGGGTTGTGACAGCTAATTATTCTGATTTAAGAAGGAGTCTGTTTCTTCATGCTCTTAGTCACAGACTGTTATAGTGAGACATTGTTTTTCTTTGTTTACTCCCATGAGTTTTAGGTTAATGATTAAGTAAACCCTAATACTATCAGTTAACCAGAATGTTTGACTAACTCTCCCTTGTCATTGCCCCAGACAACAGAGCCTTTATCTTATATGTAAGCTCAAGACCATTGTGGTAGGTACTGGGAGTTCTTGTTACATAAGTGCTGACGCAAGTTACCCCCAGTTACAATAGTAGACATAATATGAACATATTCACTAATGAACCAAGCACTTATGAAATTAGTCTCATCTCAAAGATTCTTTCACTCACTAACACTTGTGTCTAGCCAACCCATCAGGTCAATGTCTTTGTCAAGCAGAATATATAATGTAAATAGGACACAGATGGATTACAAAATTAAGTTGCAAACCTTGTAAAAAGGATGATGACAGGATAGATAATTCAGAAGGGAATGATTTGAATATCAAAGGATAAGGAGGGGCCCTTGGGAAAATTGATGAAACTCTAGTATATTTTGCAAAAATTTGAAAATTGAATATGAAGGAAATACTGACTTAGGACTCTCATCAACTTTATCAAAAGAATCATGCCAGAACTAAAACAAAATCAATCCTTAATTCATTTTTTGTTTGTTGTATTAGGACATATTTGTAATTACAAACTAACTTTTAAATATAAGATAAAATTACAATCTTTGGTTTCTCTTCTCATTATGAATGTCTCTATAAAAATTTTTTTCTCATTATTTAATATGAATTTCTATTCCACTTTTAATAGATGTTGTTTTCCTGTTATTAATTATCCTCAGATAATGAGGACATCCTAAATCAATGCTCTTCATGTTGGTAGTTTTCTAAAACCTATATTCAATTATTTATTTATTTAATGTTTATTTATTTTGAGAGAGAGAGCGAGAGTGAGTGAGCTTGAGCAGGGGAGGGGCAGAGAGAGAGGGAGACAGAGAATCTCAAGCAGGCTCTGTGCTGTCAGTGCAGAGCCCAACACGGGGCTTGAACACATGAACCATGAGATCATGACCTGAGCTGAAACCAAGAGTTGGATACTTAACTGACTGAGCCACCCAGGCACCCCTAAAACTTGGATATTGAAACATTAATTCTCTCTCCAAGACTACAATCCTGTAGACACTTCCTAGTCCCAAATACTAGAGTTCACACCCTCCTTTAAAAAAGTTTAGAATTACAGCAGATTTCTAGAATGCTAGAGTCTGACATGACCTAACATGTCACTGTTAAGTGACAATGCACCTCTGCAGCCCTCTGTTTTCTTGTGGAAGAAACTGAATTGTCGTCTTGTTCCCCCGTAACTGCTCCAGTAACATTGATTCTGTTTTCCCTGACTTGCATGTGTGATCTAAACATAAATTCCTCTGCTTGAAATGTCTTCCACCTTCTTTTTTCTGCCCTTCTCAATCGTTATGGCCCTTTAAGATAGTTTTCAAACACAGCTTCTTCAGTGAAGAACTCCCTAGTTCCCAAAAGAAAAACAATTTTTTCTAAGTTTTTACATCATTGGTCTTATACATTTGACAGTTATCATCTTTGTCTTCTTAGCACTTACAGTAACAGCTAATTCCATCTACTTCTGTGACTCAAATCCCCTACCCCACTTTTCATCCCTTGCTTATGTTCATTAGAGACAAAGCACTGAACATTGTAACTGCCTCTTCTTGCATTTACCTTAATATTTTATTTTGTATTTTTATTTATTTATTTATTTTTTAATTTTTTTTTTCAACTTTTATTTATTTTTGGGACAGAGAGAGACAGAGCATGAACAGGGGAGGGGCAGAGAGAGAGGGAGACACAGAATCGGAAACAGGCTCCAGGCTCTGAGCCATCAGCCCAGAGCCTGACGCGGGGCTCGAACCCACGGACCGCGAGATCGTGACCTGGCTGAAGTCGGACGCTTAACCGACTGCGCCACCCAGGCGCCCCATTATTTTGTATTTTTAAATGGACTGTGGGCAATCATTCATCTAAGAGCAATTTGCCCCCCAGAGGACATTTCACAATGTCTGGAATATTTTTTAAAGTTTATTTATTTATTTTTGAGAGAGAGAAAGAGAGAGAGTGAGTGAACGAGCATGCACAGCTGGGGAAGGGCAGAGAAAGAGAGGGAGAGAGAGAATCCTAAGCAGGCTCCATGCTATCAGCACAGAGCCTGATGAGGGGCTCTATCCCACAAACTGTGAGATCATGACCTGAGCTGAGATCAAGAGTTAGATGTTCAGAGCGCCTGGGTGGCTCAGTTGGTTAAGCATCTGACTTTGGCTCGGGTCATGATCTCGTGGTCTGTGAGTTTGAGCCCCGTGTTGGGCTCTGTGCTGACAGCTCAGAGCCTGGACCCTGCTTCTGATTCTTTGTCTCCCTCTCTCTCTGCCCCTCCCCTGCTTGCGCTCTGTCTCTCTCTCTCTCTCAAAAAATAAATAAACCTTAACAACAACAACAAAAAAGAGTTGGATGCTCAACTGACTGAACCACCAAGTCGCTCCTGGAATAATATTTGATTGTCACCACTGGGGAAGAGCTATGTCTTTTAGTGGTAGAGTCCAGGGATGCTGCCAGATATCTTCTAATGCACAGGAAGGCCCCACAACAAAGAATAGTATGGTCCAAAATGTCAGTTATACCAAGGTGATTGCACGTAATGACCTCTGCTGTGTTAGTGATCAGAAAAACTGGGGATATATCCCCAAACCTTTTTCAAAAATTATTATAGAACTTCTTAGTGAGCATTCATTTTCTCCACCAAGGGGTCCTCTAATATTATGCCTGCAGAATAAAAAAAAAAAGTTTAGCTGACAGTGTTTTGGGAGTGAGATAGGGAGGGGGAATTCTTAGTCCCCCTGTTTCCAGTTAGGTGCCCTACCCCTTCTCTCCTCAGTGCCCAGTGTTCCAGAGTCCAGGATCTCTCTGCTTCAGTGTCTTTATAGAATAAGTCCTGCAGTGTCCTGTGGTGGTCTGGGAAAAGTAAATTCCTGACTGTGGTGTGGTCATGGGGATATGGGGGTTTAATGACTCCTTATACAGATTTTTAAATGATCACCACGTCTCACTTTGTTTTCTGAGGTACCTGGAGCCTTCAGTTCCTGTGTGCTTCTCTCTTCTCCTTTTCTCCCTTCCCTACCCTTACATCTGTGTCCTTCCTTCCTTCTTCCTTTCTTTCCTTCCGTCCCTCCTTTCCCTCCCTTCCTTTTGTCTTTCTGTCTTTCTCTGACTGAATAGGTTTCCTTTGGGGGTATAATCTTTTTCCTGAAGTCAGGTTTTAAGCTTTCTCCACTCTGGTGAATCAGTTAGCTTTTCATCTTTCAAAAATGTGTTAACTTCTTCATCAGCTTCCTTCCATTCTCTTTGCATTTTAGAATGATATTGTTTGTATTTATTTTACTATTGATTTACTATTGTATTTATTTTACTATTGTTTACGGAACACCTGTATTCAGTCAGCCACCTTAGAAGAAGTCCAAAGTGTCCTTAGTCTTTTTTTAAAAAATATTTATTTGTTGAGAGAGAGAGAGAGAGAGAGAGAGAGAGAGAGAGAGAGAGAGAATTCCAAGCAGGCTCTGTGTGCTGTTAGCGCAGAGCCTGATGTGTGAGATTATGACCTGAGCTAAAATCAAGAGTTGGATGCTTAACCAATTGAGCCACCCAGTTGCCCCCAAAATGCCCTTAGTCATTTTGCATGGCTTTGGAGTATTGGCTAATACAAGATTGCCATAAAAGAATGAAGTGATTCTTGCTCCAGAGATTCATTTTTTCCCCTTTTTTCTGGCATAGGGGGTGCGATGTACATGCAAAGGCAGATAACCAGAGAGCATACACATCAGATCTGGGACAGCAGTGTTCACTGGAGAAAATTCATAGAGACAGAAGTAGCAGGCAGGTTGTTAACTTTTGTCCACTCATTCTAGGGCAGTACAGAAGTCTAGCAAAATCAGTATTGCCAGGAAGCAGAATTCTGGGGCTACCGAGCTAGGTAGGCAAAGTCCCTTGTGCACCATTTACATGGTAGCAGTGGAACTGCCCACCTCAGGGGGTCCTGCAAAAGCAGACAGTGAGGATAGTGGCAACAGTCACAATGGACTGAAGATTAGATGACTTCTGTTGATTTTTCAGGTGCTGGTAAGCTCCCAAGATTCCCATGTAACTCTGGAAAAGGAAATGATGACAGAGCTGGGTTAAAGGGAAATACATGCGAAATTTCTTACACACTTGGACAATTAAGTGTCACATAGAACATGTATGTTTGAGATGTTGTCCCCCTGTCTCACTATGGCCTGACTTAAAATGAAACTAGGATGTTTTTAAGGCTTGTTGAAACAAAAGAGACTTCATCTTTTTCGCTGCAGAGAGGGCAGACTATTTATTGCTATGAAAACTTTAGTTTGTTGTCCCTTGACGTTTAGAACTACGGGGGTGGGGGGGGGTGGGGGGGGTGGGGCATTATAGTGTTCGAGAAGTAGAAGTGAGTTTAAACAGCACAATGGGAAAAGGGGTGAGGGCAGGTTGAGTCTAGATGATATAGACTAGTACGGGGCAGGCAAAGACTAATGGAGCACATGCTCTCTCCTGTGGTCCCTGCTTTCTCCAGGAACCAGGTTATTGTGCAAAACCAAACTCTGCATACTGAGCAAAACAAAGCAGAAAGATGAGTTCATTGCAACAGTTTTGACGTGCAAGCCCAGAAACTCAAGACTATGGAGCAATGAGTTCCAAGTTGCTCACAGACTGAAGGACTTTTATAGGGTAAATGCAGAAGTTATCTGGCTTGTTCAGCTGATTGGTTGCCAGGTGGTCTTTTTCCTTATCTGGAATAGGGTGGCTGAGTCAGGGCAACAAGGAAGTCCAGAGATGCTGTGAAGAGCCTTGGTGTTTGGGGTTTGGCTGGCATCCTCTGCTGATCTCTGAGGAGAGTTGTGAATTCCTGTGAGGTGAGGTTAACTTTTGTTCTTTTTTATACACCTGCATTGACCGTCTCCATTTTTCCCCTGACATAAATGACTCCGTTTGAGTTTGGCTCTACATTGTCATTGCAGGAACTGGCTCAGAGAGGACCTGCTTCCCTTGCCTCTCACGTCTTATGTTGATCAAGGGCTTCCGGCTGTGTTGGCAGGTGTCACAGAGGAGGGAGGATCACGGATGTGTGAGCGCCACATGACTTATTCGGGGAAATGGATCAAATCCAGACTGGTGAGTCCTGTGGCTCGGGGTGTAGTACGAATGACATTTCTGGGGGTAGGATGATGGGGGCATTTGGTTTGGAGGCTGAGAAGGACCACCTTCAGGATAAAATTAAATCTTGGCTAAGATAGATCATGTGTTTCAAAGTAAGTAGACTGAAGAATTCTTTCTTGGGTTAAAAATATCACTGTTTATCTTCTTTTCATTTGAAATAGCTTATTTTGCAGTTATTTATGAAAAGATGCTATGAGCAAACAACATTTCACAATTAAGTACTTTACAGGATCTGTCAAAGAAGATAGAGAGTATCTTACTAACCAGTGAATGTTTTCAAAAGCCTAGAATTCAACCATTTAGATACCATCCTGTGTGCTAGCTATGAAGTAACTGTGATTTTAGCTAAAAAGAAAAGAAAAGAAAAGAACCCTTCAGTGAATAGGAAGTAATAAAGAAATTCTTTAATGCAAATTGTATTTGCTTTATATATATATGTGTATATATATGTATACATATGTCTGTGTGTACATAGTATGTGTGTAAGTATACATGTGTATTTATATATGTAAAATTTACAACAGGCAACCTGTGGCAAGTTTGAGAGGGCAGTGACATGTACCAGAGTGGGTGTAACTGTTCTTAACCATCTCTTTTTTCCATATTGAAGCCAGTCCCAGAACAATGGCCTAGGTGCCCCAGTGCCAGTAAACACAATCCTTCTGGAACTCTCTGGCTCCATTTTTGGTGATGCCACAGGGTGTGGGCTTGGTTTTGTTAAAGTAATTACACAAGCTGGCCATTAGACTGGGGTACCTCTAATGCTTGATAGCCTGCTGAGCAAACCAAAACCTGAGCCAGGGCCAATGCACTGGAACCCGAGAAAATCAAACTGAAGAACAATCACAAACAGCCAACCAGGCATTCCCAAATAAGGCAAGCACTTAAGCTATCACCAATCAAATAATTTCCTTCTTTGCTTCTAGGTCTCCTCTCTAAAAACCTCTCCCCTAGTGCCTGTCAGTGGAGCAACTCCTAACCACTGACCGTTTGGCACTGCCTGATTCCAATCAATGTCTGCTCAACTTAAGTTTTGAAAATGTTAAGGTGCCTCAGTTTAGATTTTAACAGTTTTCTTTCATTGCAACATAGTGGCAAAGAGCATTGGAAGTTGAGGGAGAAAATAGGGAGAACAGGCCTCAGAGTCTGTTTTGGTCTGAGGCTTAGGAGAAAGAAAGCTTCTACCTGGTTCAACTTGATTATTAGATTTCTGCTCTTGAGATTGGGTTCAAGGCCTGGCTGGTATTAAAGTGTTCCTTTCCTCTCCTGTGTCTGGTTAAGAGCAATGATAATAGCTATTATAATTCTCCTATTTCTGAGTTTGCTGCCTGTAATAACATCCAATACCTCTTAATATGATTCCAGTTTCTAACACAGCATAAGATTCACAGCCCTGCACAAGCCAGTGATATCCTATCTTTTGAGTTGATTTATTGGTTCTATCATTAGATTTCTTGGTGTCTTCAGAACACATGATTTTTCTTATGAATGTATTTTATTGTCAGTTGGCTTATATACAACACCCAGTGCTCATCCTAACAAGTGCCCTCCTCAATGCCCATCACCCATTTTATCCTCTCTCCTCCCCTATTGACCCCCAGTTTGTTCTCTGTTTTTTTTTTTTCAACTTTTATTTATTTTTGAGACAGAGAGAGACAGAGCATGAACAGGGGAGGGGCAGAGAGAGAGGGAGACACAGAATCTGAAACAGGCTCCAGGCTCTGAGCTGTCAGCACAGAGCCCAACGCGGGGCTTGAACTCACGGACCATGAGATCATGACCTGAGCCGAAGTTGGACGCTTAACCAACCGAGCCACCCAGGCGCCCCTGTTCTCTGTTTTTAAGAGTCTTTTGTGGTTTGCCTCCCTCCCTCTCTGTAACTATTTTTTCCCCCATCCCTTTCCCCATGGTCTTCTGTTAAGTTTCTCAAGATTCACATATGAGTGAAAATGATACCTGTCCTTCTCTGACTTATTTCACCCAGCATAATACCTTTCAGTTCCATCCATCTTGTTGCAAATGGCATGATTTCATTCTTTCTCATTGCCAAGTAGTATTCCATTGTATACATAAACCTCGTTTTCTATATCCATTCATCAGTTGATGAACACTTAGGCTCTTTCCATTAATTTCCCTACTGTTGAAAGTGCTGCTATAAACATTGGGGTACAAGTGCCCCTATGTATCAGCACTCCTGTATCCCTGGAACCTCCGCACTGTTTTCCAGAGAGGCTGCATCAGTTTGCATTCCCACCAACAGTGCAAGAGCGTTTCCATTTCTTCACATCCTCGCCAGCATCTGTTGTTTCCTGTTCATTTTAGCCACTCTCACCGGCGTAAGGTGGTATCTCAGTGTGGCTCTGATTTGTATTTCCCTGATGATGAGTGATGTTGAGCATCTTTTCATGTGTGTGTTGGCCATATGAATGTCTTCTTTGGAAAAGTGTCTATTCATGTCTTCTGCTCATTTATTCACTGGATTTTTGTGTGTGTGTGTGGGGGGAAACACATGATTTAATGAGATTGTACCTTTGTGCTTTCCATTTTCATTGACTAGCAGCTTACTTTCAATTCACCCTTCAAGGCTGTTTTAGTTTCCTGGGGCCACCGTTACAAATTATCACACATTTGGTGACCTAACACAACAGAAATTTATGCTGTCACACAGTTCTGGAGGCCAGAAGTCCAAAATTAAGATGTTGGCAGAATTGGTTCCTTTTGGAGACTTTGAGCCCCTCTCCCAGCTTCTGGTGGGGGCCAGAAATCCTTGGCATTCCTTGCCCTGTCACTCCAGCTTCTTCCTCGATCCTCACGTGACCTTTTCCTCATTTCTCCTCTTCTCAAGTCTCCCTCTTCTTTTAATGTTTATTTATTTTTGAGAGACAGAGAGAGACAGAGCACGAGCAGGGGAGGGGCAGAGAGAGGGAGAGACACAGAATCTGAAGCAGGCTCCAGGCTCTGAGCTGTCAGCACAGAGCCTGATGCAGGGCTCAGACCCACGAACCGTGAGATCATGACCTGAGCTGAAGTCGGATGCTCAACCAACTGAGCCACCCACCCTCCCTCTCCTTTCTTTTAGAAGAATACTACTAGTCATTGAATTTAGGGCCCACTCTAAATCCAGGGTGATCTCATCACAAGATCCTTAATTACATCTGCATAGACCCCTTTTCCAAATGATATCACATTCACAGAAACTGGATGTTAGGACTTAAATATATCTCTTGGGGGAGCATTATTCAACCGATTACAATGGCTTAACTCACTTTTCTTGCTGAAAACTTTCCAGAATGGTCCACACTATTTCTACCTCCCCCGTGATCCTGTGGCACTATTCTAATTGTTTGTGGGCTTGTAACGCATGAGAGATTAGGTGCTCCTTAGATTTGGTGTTCCTAGCTCAGTGCCTGACCGAGGTCATAAGACCTCAGTGTGTTGGTTGAACTTAAGCAAAGCATTGCTCACGTCACATTGTTATTCTAAGGCTGACTTACAACAGCAATAGGTTATTCAGACCAGAGCTACTCACAATTCACTTTGAAATCAATGAGCTTCTTCCAAGGCCAGATAACGTCTGAGTGAGAAAATATCTTACTCATCACTACTCATCTTTTTTATGTCTTATGTATGGTGCCAAGTGGAGAAGGCAACTGTTCATGTGATACTTATTCATTCAACAAATACTGGACACCTGTTCTGAGCCAGGCCCTGCCCTAGGCATTTGATACATGATACATATGCATATGATACAATATGCATGTGATAAAAAGTAGTCAGCACCTGGACAAGGATGGAGACATGTGAGCACTCAACTTACATTATATTATAGTAATGACTTGGGTGCTGAGGGAGGTGCGGGGTGCTGTGAAATTCCTAACATGAGCCTGGAATCTAGACTGGGGGACAGGGAAATTATCTGGGAAGAAGTGATTAACATAAATAAGGAGCAGTGAGGACTTGTCATGGTAAGGCGGTAGGGCTGAATGCTTCCAGGAGAGGCATGTGCAAAACTGTGGCAGTGAGAGGGAAGGTATGACATGTTTGGCAAATGGTTGAAGATGGCAGGGGCAGTGGTTCTTAAACGTCGGCTGCATCAGAATCTCCTGGAGATTTGTTAAATGTAGACAGCTGCGACTTACCCCAAACGTTCTGTATCAGCAGGCCTAAGAAGGCTGAAGAATTTGCATTTCTAACAAGTTGTCAGGTGATGCTGATCCTGCTCATCTGGGGACCACACTTTGAGAACCACTAGGCTAGAAGGAGCACAATGAGTAACGTGCAGAACTGGGTAGAGTGGGATGGACATAAAGTAGGGGCTAGATTATAAAAGGTCTTGAAGGATATGTTTGAATTGGGTCCTGAGGTCCATTGGAAGCCTTTGATGGGGCTGGATAGTGATACGCTTTTGATGACTTAAATCTATATATGAAGAATCTGCTAGAGGGGGCAAAACTGAGGGAGACTGTTGCAGGAGTAGAGGAGAGAGGCAGTGGTCACTAGTGCAGAGGTGGTTGTGGGGATGGAGAGAATGGATGGATTTCAGAAGTATAGGAAATAGCATAAGAAAGTCTGTAAAGGAGCTCCTTTAAAAAGTGAAATTCTGTCATTAGAAGTGGGGACTAAACTGTGATCCCCCAGACCGATGGCATTGTATCATCTGGGAACTCGTTAGAAATCCATGTTTCCAAAAGTGTAGCAATGGGGTCCAGTATTCTGTATTTTAAAAAGCCCTCAGGATGATTCTGATACCTACCATAGTTTGAGAGCCACTGCCTTGAAGCAATTGTGTCCTTAACTGAATGCAGAATAAAACGAAATGCAAAATAGAAGAAAATGCAAATTAAATAAAAATTAAAGTGCACATACTCATGGAATGACCTTGCATTAGGAAATTTTAGAAATAACAGTGTAAATTACTCAGTCTTTTCAAGGTGATAGGTGGCTGACCTAGGTTT